ACACCCTGTGGCTTCTTTATGCTGACGCGCTCCGATTGCCTTTTCGGGCTGTCTGGAAATAGCTCCTCGTCGTCCACCGCAGTCGCCCTGCCCAGCCACCAGCAGAGCCCCGCCGCTTCCATCCTGGCCCGCCCCAACCGCCTCTTGCCACCCCTTTCCCCTCGGCCACCCCGCTCTGCTCAGCGCGTCCCCAGACCCAGCCTAGGCTCCTGCGCAGAGACATCCCCGCGTGGGTCCTTCTGGGCCCGCTTATGGCATGGAGCGCAACGGCCTCCAGCTCCAAGCCTGGGTTCCAGGCCACGGACTTTCTCCTCTAAATTTACGGAATCGACGTTTCCTTGTGTTCAGCGCTGCGTTCTCTCCATCCACCTTGGTGGACGCAGATGTTCTGGTTCCTGCGACTCGTGCTGCTGCGAACGCCAGTGCGGGTGTCTCTCTGATGCGCTGACACTTCTGCTCTTGGTTCTGTGCCTGGCAGGGGTTGCTGATCGCTCAGTGATTCTAGTTTGAGCTTTCCGAGGAGCTCCCGCGCTGTCTTCACAGTGGCTGCCCCGGTTTACAGCCCAAGGCTTCCCCTTTCTCCGAGTCCTCACTGACCAGCACCCATTGTTCCCTGTCCCTTTGACAGAAGCCATCGTAACTGGGGTGGGAGGGTATCTCAGGAAGCCAGGCTCACAAGACACGCTCTCCTTCCTCTCGGTTCTTTACGTCTCTGCTTTGTGCCATCATCCGGGAGGGTGTGTGCGTTGCTGGAGTCAGTCGGCCTCCCTGGGTCTCACCTTTTGTGGGAGACCTGAGCCACGGCTTCGGGCCACACATTCCCCGAGAGTGTGAGGTCACCAGCTGCCTGCCTTGTCTGTGTCGGGTGACCACACACGTGATCACAGGGGGAAGCCAGCCCTTGTGAGACGCCCCTGATCCCTGTGAAAAGGCCAGCAGCAGGTCACACTTCCTGCTAGGGAGGCGGGGCTCCCTCGCTCACAGAAGCCAGGGCAATCAGGAGGACGTTGGGAAAGAGGAGTTGGTGGGCTCCGGCGCCCTGGGAGTCTACGTGCCGTGCTG